ATATTGTTAACTCGGACATTGGAAATCAGTGAATAAAGATGGCTTCTGAGGAAGACAAGAAAATGCAGTATAAGCGACGACAAAGCGTCTTTGCTTTACCTGATAAAAGAGTACTGGTAAGATGTTTCTATAAAAAATACCTTTAATCTTTTACTCAATGTTATTTTACGATTTTTTTTATAGGTGGCAATGAAAATTTGTTTTATAGTTTTTTTCTTCTGTGTATCTCATAAAATATTGTGTACTGGAGATGTGGAACTTAATGAAATTGTATACATGTTTTGTGGGGGGTTTTGTTATTCTTTTTTTTTAACACAAAATTTTCCTTTTAAAAGGAAAGTTATGGCTACTGATTCATAGATGATTGTGTGTCATATTGGTGCCAGCATACATGAAAAAGTGCAGTTTTGGATATTGTCAACTTTCTTTGTGCATTTTATTGTATTTTACACAGTTTTGAGCTCTAAGACTGTAATGTGCAATACATGCATGGCACTACAATAAGTTCCAAGAATACATTCTTGGAAATTGGACTGTTAGTTTCTTAGCCTGAGGTTTACTAGTCAAGTGTTTCAATAGGGATGCTTGTTCATCAAGTGTTCTTGATATGTCAATATTAATATTTTGTCAGCTATAATTATACACTTGTCTTAATACTATAGGATAGACAAATGATATTTTATGATACCTACCAGACAGCATTTGTCCAGTGGCAGGACATGTGCTTCAAGATCACAAGGTCCCAGGGTACTGTCATTTCCTTGAGCTCTAGGTGTAAATGTAGAGTGAATGACTTTTCAATACATTGTAGTATGAAGGGGTATTAGTGAACATGCCCTAAAAAATGACTTAAAGTCTACAAAGCTATATATCTGCTGCAAAAAAAAAATAGTTAAATAGCATCTGGAACATCTGATACTTTTTACATATAATATTCATGTGTGTTAAATAACAGAGAAAAGTCTTCTGAGAATCGACCATAAGATCTTGGAAACAATATAATTTTGGTGTTGATAGATTTATTTCATTTTGTAAGATATTATTATACCCTTTAAACTTGAAATGCATTTACTGTTGTCCCAGTGTCTCAATGGTGGCTTAAATCTGGAGAAAGTGTGATCCCTCTGAAGCATTATTCACAACGAAATTACATGTACATGATAATTGACTTAGTTTGATTGAGTTTGTACATGAGGGACAATGAAAAAGTGCAACATCCTTCACATCCCCTAGCACCGGCTTAAGCTGTAAAGTTAACATAAGTTTCTAGTGCTAAGTGGATGGTTGGCTGGCTCAGTGATTTATGTTGCTGACTTAATGTCACTTGTTTTCTTATAACTTGTTGGTGGAATTCAGTATTATTTTATTATTTCATATGACTGGAAGCTATGAAATGGAAGCTATCCAGCTTACTATGAAAATTCATTGTGTTGATACTGTCTTATCTAAATTTACCGTAAATTCCTATTAAACGCCCCTGGGGGCTAAACATTTTCCAAAACGGGGGCTATTATTACATCACAGTTTTTCCTAAATCCAAAAATCATTGTAAATACATTTAGTGTTAGCAAGTGTTGGTAATAACATTAAAAAGTGTTAAGATTTTAAAGTTCATACTATAAAATTAAATGGATTCTGAATGATTTGATTGAAATTATAGATTTACTCATGAGTTCAGCACTGATGAGTAGATTGTTTTTCTTATCAAAAGGCCTGGGGGGGCCTTTATAAGGAGAGGGGTGTTTATTAGGAATTTTACGGTAAGACTTTCGGCACTTGTAAAATTGGATATCTGCTATAATTAGGACCTCTAGAGTGGTATGGGTATGATTGAAAACTCTACAGTAGTAATAAAAATTTAAAAAAAACCTTACCTTTAAAATGAATATTAGTGGAGAAAATAAGATATTGTTCACCTTAGTGCAGTAGCGGGTTAACTCCTGTTAAATTAAATAAGCAAATAACCCGTTACTGCATTGAAGGTGTCATTGTGGAAGAGAAAAAAGAGTCTCTTCAATGACTGTCCCAAACATTAGGTTTTAGAAAGAATATTATGTTATTGTCCTAGGCTATAGTGAGAAATTGGCAGTGGCGTAGGTCATACCTCCATGTCAACTTACCTTGTGCTGCTTACTGGTCATGTGAACAACATTACGGAACGTCTGCCATCTTGACTTTAAACTTGAATACAAAAACAGTCAGCCATTGTTGTTAGTGTGTGAATAACATTAGACAGTCATTGCTTCCTAAGAAGCTTTACTTTTAAATTTCTTTATGTACAGATTCTTCTTGGATTTGGTCATGTATTTTTTTGGCTGGATTGATGAGAAAGTGATAAAAATTTGGAAGTGTTTAAAGGCTTTTAAATATGCTGAATGACATTGAGTTAAACATAAATTTTAATACTTTCTTTGAAATTTGAATGTCTTGCTTTCTCCCTCAGATTTGAAATTTTCACCTCAAATGGTTCAATATGATACAGATGATATGTGCTGACGCATCTGAATGTAAGAAATACGACAAAAGCATTAAAATGTGATTAAAATATATCTTTTTGATAATTTGTTTAATACTTTTTTTAAACATGAAAGAATTACAGTGTAATCCCTCTTGTAAGATGCAGTTTTTATTTTCCATGCCATTGATTTTACAGCTGGTGAATGAATTTTTAATGATTTTTTTTTTAATCAGATTTCAATATAAAATCCCTGTAAAACATATTGTTGTGCAGTTTGGAATATACAAAGATGATAGTGGAATATTTTGATAGTGTCAGATATAAAAAGTAACAAAAATTTAATCGTTAAAATAGTGGAGTAAAACTATTATTTTAAAAGTTTTCTTTTTTTATGGTAATTATTTTTTTTTAATTTTCAAGGAGAAAAGTGAAAGTATTGGTCATTTTAAATTATTTACAGAAAAGTTACTGAATGACAAAGACTCTCCTTTGTTAATTGAACATTTTGATAAGGAATTTTGATATTTCCACGCAAAGTGAAGGAAAAATATAGAAAAAGTGTCACACCATGATTTTATTTGGTCACTAAAAATTATTGAAAATACATCTTATCAATTATTAGTCTGAAGAGTCTAATTATAATTCTGTACGTGATCTACGAATAAAAAAATATTGGTAACACAATATTTTTCGATTTATTCAATAGATTAGGTGAATATCTTGCTGATTACAACATGGCATGTGACATCATTAAGTAAATGCTGCAATTTGCGTCAGAGATTCCGTTGGGCGATATAAGTGTGCCAACTCTATCTTACAAGCATTCATCGTTTGGATAATTATGTGTATTTTTAGTTGTCATTAAGGTGAAGGCCTTTTGGAAGCAAATTCTACCTAGTTTTAACTAAAAGATCAAAATAAGTTGTTGAACATTTCATACACAAAATTGTCATATCTAGCTCTTTTAGTCCAACCAAGATACAGCATTGTTCTGTTAAATCCACAATTCATTGTTTGGTCTTCGAAGAGAAATAACGGTGAATGGAACTGTGCGTAGTTTTGAGATTAGAGACTTCGTTTAACTGGAATGTGTTTACTATAACGGGCCAAATGCTACAATCTCCGAGTTAAATGCCACAATCTCTTGGCTTGTTTACCGGCCATCTCTGTATCATTTTAAGCTATTCACTAATTTCCATTGACACTTTGTATACTGATTTACTTTTCCTTGATGATCAACTTTTCTTAGCTGATAAGAAATTTCGATTTTTCTTAATCTTTGATGGATTTCTATTTTAAAGAAGGCATCCTACTTAACAATCAGGGTCAAACATCTGCAAAAGTACATGTTTAAGCTAGAAAATCTGATTTTTTCGGCCATTTGCAAGCTTTTATCAAATCATTTAATGTAAATGTGATTCCGGTTAAACGAAATAAGCGTTTTATGTTAAAAAAAAAGGAGAAATGTTTCGATGATGTTTTTTTTCGGCATTTTATAATTGATTGTGATTATTTCTTGTGGGGAAAATATTTTAGGTGACTTGTATGTATGTATAATGGAATAATCAGAGAAATCTTGTGTTCTAAGATATGTAAAATTTCATTCGTTACCATTCTTTGGTCTTGTCAACTAAAGATTAATGTCATTTCAAAGTCTTTAGTTATTAAAAACTATCCAAGTTACAGAAATATTTCCATCTTTAAGACAAAGTTAAAGCATACAGGTTCAATGAATGTATTTTGACATTAAGCAAAAATCAGTGTCAGTTTGGAATTTTCTCTGTGACATATTTTTGACAATCTTCAGTTTGGATTCTAACATAAGATAAGTTAGACACATTGCTAAAAATTGTGTGCCTTTAAAAAAAAACAAAAAAAAAACGTAATTTTGTATATTTTGCTAAATTATTATATTTGGATAAAGTTTGTGAAATATTTAAACAATTAATTTATTTCAAAATATGTAATTTGTTACTAATTTTAATTAGTTGGAATTGTTTTTGTTTGTTTTAAATTTTTATATTCATTCAGTAGGAGGAAGGACAGGTTGGATATATTGCAGATGTTTGCTCATACATTGTCTTTGATAGATTTTTTTAGCATTTAATATATGGCTTTACACAGTTATTTGGGTGTTTATGGCTTTTTTATGTTTTGTAATATTTAGGGCTTTTTATAAGAGGACTCTGTTTTTTATTTATTTTTTAAAGCATTGAATATATATCAAATTTAGAAAAAAAAGGGAGGTAAGAGTAGAGTAGAGTGGTTTCACTTTTTCAAGTACCTTGTTCTTGAAGTAACTTAAAATATCTTAAACAAGTTCATATTATATCAATTTTGAATGTTTTGTTACTTACAATACTGCATTTGTAAGAATTTTGTTTTATCACAGACTTTAAGATCAAGAGATTTGGACTATAAATCAGAATCAGACCTGAATAAATCCAGGAGCATTTAATATTTGAATAATTTATCAGGGGGTTATCTAATGTCAGTGCCATAAAAGGTGTTTTTCTCCCGATTTTCTACGGTAGTGAGTTAGTAACACAATGAATTTAAAGTGTGAATGTACTGGTAGGATTTAATAAAATTAATTTAATGAATTCTAAACAGACGCAAGTGGTTGTATATTGGAAATAACCAATGTTTGAAAAATGATAAAATGTATGTTTCAGATTTAAACAACAATGATATGAGATTTATGTAACAATAGTTTCAGACAAATAATAGGGAAAAAGTTTTAGGTGGGAATACAATCATGTAACATAGGTTTGATTAAGGTAGAAAAATTATCAGGCGATAAGAATTGTGTGTGAGGTAACATAAGTATATGCAGTGTCCAAATCTTTAACTTGAATTAAAAGTACACCATATTTACCAGTACATGGGATGATTTTGTTGAAAAAACTGAAAAAACTAAAAATGGGAAAACAGAATATCAAAGGTGTAATATGAATTAAAGATAATAACAATAACAGACTTAGAAGAAAATAAACACAATCATTTGAGATGATGTGATATTAGTTTAGATGACAAAGTGAAGGAATAATATAACAATAGTTTCGGATAAAAAACAAGAACCAAAAAAATAGTAGTTATAGATGCAAAAACAACAATAGTTTAAGATGAGTCAGGAGAAACCAAAGCGTAAAATAAGCGCTGCCTTGCAGCCGCCAAACATTTCTGACCATGGTGGTCACCTCGCTACTATAAGTGAGTCTGGACCTATGAGGAGAGTGAGTCAGGAAGGTCAAGGTCCAGTACGGAAAGTTAGTACAGAGGTGGGTCTAAGGCGTGTCAGTGGAGAACGTGACGGAACTCAAAGACGGCCCAGTGATTCTAATCGTAAAGTTAGCACATATAGTATAATGGGACGTAAAACAAGTTTTATGTCGGCTCCAGAAAAATTGATAAAAGACAAGGTAAGATCTGATCTCTGTAAACTTAATATTTTTTTATGTGATCTTTCACCTTGACATCTCCATGATGTTACTTATTCTGGGTAGTAAGACACCAGTGTAAAATCTCTGGGTGGAAACACATTCAAATATATCTTTGTATTGTACATACGGTAACACAGTTGAACATAGGTTATATATCTCAATGGCTACTTTGTTATTACGTAAATCATTATTCTGAAGTTATAATTTACGTTTTATTGAAAACTTTGAACTTTTTTGATCAGACTATAATATAACTTGTGCAGATAGTATAGAATTATATTCCTTCTTCCTAACATATATTATGCATTGCAAATTAATGAATTTCAATGGAGAAAGAAAATTAATTGTAACAAAATTATTGAATGCAGTCATTGATTAATTTCCTGATATACAAGTATATCATGCTGACATTTTGTATCTTCAATGAAATCAATCAATTTACAAGCAAATTTAATTTGAGATAACATTATTTATCAATCATATTTAGTATCTGTAATATACAATGTACAGTGTACTTCATATGCCTAATAATTGGCTTAGACCATATAGAGGAACAATTCATATGAGACTGAATTTTGAAATTGTTTAGCAAGTTTATATTGTTTACAAATATTGTCTTGTACAAAAGATTTATAATAGATAATGTTATGATGAAGAACTTGTTGTTTAGTTATACAAGTAAATCAATGCTATCTTTAATAGATGCAGAAAGCCAATGAAGTTTGTGGAAAACTTTCTTGATTGTCACTCCAATGTTTAATGTAAATGCCACATAAAAATAGGCATAGACCGCTTTTCAGTAATGTCTGTATATAAATTATTTTGTTTTTAAAAGTAATGAAAAGAAAAACCGGGGCATAGTTTTGATTATTCATTACACTTCCATCTTTGATTTACTGCTATTTATTACATTTTTATGCCACCACTTATAGATTTGCTCTGTCTGTCTGTCTAGCTGTCTGTCTGAAGACTGAGAAAGCAGTGAAATATGGGGGCATCTGTGTTCTATGGACACGTTTCACTCATTTCTAGTTACATGGTTTGATATCTTACTGTACACATTTTACAATCTGACACGTATCATTCTGGTAACATATTAATAAATGTGAAAAATGTTGTCAATATAGATAAAATAATTGGACATGTTTTCATAGTTTTTGAATGTGGAAGTATAATAAGAAGGAAAGGTGGGTTTCCACATGACTATCAATACCACGCTTCACTACTGTCAATACTAATTGACATTAAGGCAAGAACCTTAAAAGGTTCCATGTATTGGTGGTCTACATTAGTCATGTAAATGAGCAGAGGTCACATCGGAAACAGGGCAACTCAGCTCCAATTCCATTCATTGCTTTGAAAATTACAGCAACAGTTCAGAGGTACAGCAGATATGGGCAATTGAAATACAAAGAAAAATATTAACAATTATGTTGATGTATGTTTAACACCCTTGCTGTATATGCAGATTAAAATCAAACTGTAACACATATAATGTAACACATGATAACCTATGACAGTGACTTTTCTCATTCACAAAGAAAGACCACTTTTGTTAGCAAGATTGAAGTTGATTTAATTTATTTGAGTTACTTTCCCTTTGTACTCTTCTACTTTCTCCTTTGTTTATTTACATGTTGCTAATAGTAACCAGGTGTATTGCTGTTAGCTATTATCGAACCAAGACTGTTCTTTGAAATATTGAAAAACCCATAAACTTTAGATAGATAAGTAGTAAAAGGTGAAATTCAATACACATTATCGACAGTACAACTATTTGAATTTATATAAAAAGTCTGGTATGTCATTTATTACCTTGACTTGGGACATTTGTTTGTGATAAACAAAATCTTGTTTAAACATTCTCAGGTTGAGAAATCATGGTATATCTTTAAAGAAAGTTTTTAAACATTGGTTGATATCAGTACTGTGTTATGACCCTTAGCAATAAAGGAATAAAGTCTTAAATTTCAATTTTCAATTAGATAATATTGAATTTATTTAAATGACAGACTTCTCAATTTCTCTTTAACTAATTTAATTCATTTTCTATATTTATGTATATCCTACTGACTGACATAAAATCTTGATTTAAAAAAAAATTAAGGTATTTATTTTTCAAATATAACTTTCATTACACAGTTTATCGGAGAGCTAAGGAGATCTTGTCAGTATAATTATACATGTAGTTAAACTGCTCCATGTGTCAAGTTCACCCCAAAAAAAACAATGGTACGCTGACTATTACCTGTATTTAACTTACAGGTTAGAACTGATGAAAATACTGTGAACTTTTTTTTAATTTTAAAGAATGTTGCCGAGGAATAGATTCATTTTTTTTTAGCTCACCAGAGCACAATCTGCTCAAGGTGAGCTATTGTCTGTGTCTGTCGTCTATCAGTAACATTTTCACTTACACAACATCTCCCTAAAGTCTTGGCCCTACAGGAATGATATTTGTTGGTACTCTATAAAAATTGCCCAAATGGTTCCTGTGTACCTAACATAATGGCTGCCAGATCTTATAATAGTAAAACCTTTAAACAACATCTTCTGCTCAAACATTCTGTAGATTTTGATGAAACTTTGCAACAAAGGTAATCAGGAACTCCTCTTAAAGGGATATTCAGGCAAAATAATGACAAAAATATTAAAATGATATTATGTACTCCAATCACGCTAAAATGACATTTCTTGAAGTTTCAGCATGATTTCTGTTTAAATTCTATATATTTTGGGTTTGAGGCGTAAATATATCTATATAGGTTGAACAAAATTTAGACCCGAATAGAATCACCAAATAGTTTTAAAACAAGTCACGTGACTTGAACAAACCCTTGAAGTTATAATAACAGATTTTGTGGATATTGTATGATTGAAACAAGTCTAAGTCATTCATTTGACATGTTCTTTAACGTTTCCAGAGTTCACTTTGACAACTATTGTGAAAACCTAGCGCTCTAACCTGACCCACGCGGATCAAGTTAGGAAACCACCATTTTATTCTTTATATGGTGAAAAGTTTTGTTCCTTTGACTGTCTAATATATTCATTTTGAGGGCATTTACAGAATAATGAATGAAAAAATCAAAACTAAGAAATGAAAATTTTGCCTGTGTCTCGCTTTATAGTGTTGCTCAAATTGTTCTCGTCTGTTAAACAAGATGACCTCCAGAGCTAAAAGTAAAAATAAGCTTTAAATGACATATTCTCCTCAGTTGCTTAATCTATAGTGATGTAACTGTACAGGAATGATCCTTAGGTGGTCAGTTACAAAAAATGCTCAAAAGGTTCCAGTCTGTAGGACAAGATGGTCATCAGAGATAGCTTGAAACCATATCTCCTCTGAATAAATCACTTTGTAGATTTTAAAGAAACTATACAGGAATGGTCCCTAGGTGGTCCTCAAAAAATTTTGATCAAATTGTTCCAATCACAAACACGATGTCTGCCTGTACTTTAAATAGCAAATTTTTTCTAGGCAACATCTCTTCCTCAACCACTTAGGAGATTTTGATGAAAAAGTGCTGCAATGATCATCAGGCAGTCCTTTACAAAAATTGCTTTTAATAGTTTTGTTAAATTATCATAATAATATTATAATAATGTCAGAAGGTGAGAAAAATGTACAGCCTGACCGGGACTTGATTCCAGGACCCATTGAGGAATAATGTTCCTATGCTCGACCAACTGAGCTATCCTGCCACTTATTTAAATACTCATCTTCTCTCCTAAATAATAAACAGTTGACAGTAACCATGCTAAAATTTCCAAATCTAAAGGCATAAGTTGTTGCAAAATAAAAAATTTCTTGTTTGTTCTGTAATGTCCTTATCAGTCTGTGTGAAGTTTTACATTTCCGTATAGCAAAACCATTGCCCAGCTATTTTGAAGTATAATATATTTCAAGTTACTGTGTATCTATGCTACATAAGAGTTTGTATACGCTATATCATTCTTACATACTTTTAATTTCCTTGAGTGCTCAAGTTTAAAATTTATACTGCAGCAATATTTCATGGTGTTAAGACAAATATTTTATACTTCTCAAAGAGATAAATTTTATAAATCAATATTCTTAAGGATTACTTGTAAATGAAAATCAAATTCGCTCTTACAGTAAAGGGCAGTATTAAGTATAATTATGTTTACATTTAAGAACTTGATATCTGTTTCGTCTAAAGGGATGATATGTTAATGAAAGCAATGCAAACAGCTTAATGGAATATGCTAATTTTTTATGTTTTTAGTAGTACCAATTACTTACCCATGAGGTTCTTCCAGGCTATACTAAATTCACTTAATTGTACACCTTCAAGCTTAAGTGCTAGTTTTGTTTGTCCGTTTGTTTCATTTAACGCATTTTCCCAACAGTATTTCAGTCATATAGGCGGGTAGTTTCCTAACCATTGTTCCTTGAGAGATACACCAGTACTAAACTACCAAAGCATCTCCCAGAGATCGAACCCACGCCAGAGAGGTAACTGGATTAGAAGTCATTGACTATAACCCCTCGAACACGGAGGCGGTTTAAGTGTTGGTCTTATGGGTTACAGAGTTTTTGAAGAGTCTCTAGTCTAGTTCTTATTTTTTACACATTAGATAACCTGCTCTTTGTTGACATTTATTGAACTACAGCAGAGCTTTTTTGAAACACAGAATAAGCCATAAATGCTATTTTGGGTTCTGCTTATTTGTTTGAATCACAAGATCTTACTGACTTTTTGATTGTGATCTTTTAAGAAGATAGTTATTTCTGTTTGTAGAGAACGAGAAAGCTTTTGCCTCCTTGTCTTTATGTAATTTGGTTTTCACAAACATTGGCTCTGTGAAATATGCCATGAAGTGTGATATTTGTCCACTTCTTTTGGGTGATGAAAGACATTTACAGGTGTTGTGGCAATAATAATTCTACCTTGCTGGTGCCAACATATGTTACCTATGCCACAGCAGACCAAGATGAAAATCAGCCATGACAT